TCTTTCTCTTTACCCCTCTCTCTCTCTCTCTCTCCCTCTCTCTCTCTCTCTTTCTCTCCCTCTGTCTCTCTTTCTCTTTACCTCTCTCTCTCTCTGTCTCTTTTTTTTTTCTCTCTCTCTCTCTCTCTGTCCTGCTTGTTGCTGTTGGTTTTTTTTCATCATATTTCGCTTTCTCTCTCTCTCTCTCTCTCTCTCTCTCTCTCTCTCTCTTTCTCTCTCTCTTTCTCTCTCTCTTCCCTCTCTCTCTCTCTTTCTCTCTCTCTCTCTCTCTCTCTCTCTCTCTCTCTACTCTCTCTTCTATCTCTTCTCCCCCTCCCCCTCCACCTCCTACCCTCCTCTCTCTCTCTCTCTCTCTCTCTCTCTCTCTGTCTCTCTCTTTCTCTCTCTCTCCTTCACCCCCATTTTTTTGTCGCTTTTACTTAACAGCTTTTGCTGATAGGTTTCGAGTGGACTCAAAAGAGAGCAGCATATGACTCCACAGAGGGGTCGGGGCGGCATCCGGGGAGCTATGTCCGAACTCGTGTCCGAATGCGCTTTTCGCAAACAGTCGCACACTTCGTGCTCTTCGACCCCCCAGAACTCCACTCCCGGGCCACATTCTGAATGCCTGCCATTCCGTGTTCTTCGAGTTCCCAGAATTCCATTCCTGGGCCACATTTTGGATGCCCGGAGCCAACTGTAGGCCACTTCGTGCTCTTCAAGTTCCCAGAACTCCATTCCTGGGCATGATTTTGAATGCCCGGAGCCAACTGTAGGCCACTTCGTGTTCTTCTAGTTCCCAGAACTCCATTCCTGGGCCACATTTTGAATGCTGAGGCAGGCTGATGCTGCGGCCGAGGCAGGCTGAGGCTGAGGCAGGCTGAGGCTGAGGCCGAGGCTGAAGGCAGACTGAGGCTGCAGGACTGAGGGCTGAGGCTGAGGCTGAAGGCTGAGCTGCAGGCTGAGGCTGAGGCTGAGGCTGATGCAGGCTGAGGCTGAGGCAGGCTGAGGCTGAGGCCGAGGCTGAAGGCAGACTGAGGCTGAGGCTGAAGCAGGCTGAGGCTGAGGCTCAGGCAGGCTGAGGCTGAGGCAGGCTGAGGCTGAGGCTGAGGCAGGCTGAGGCTGAGGCTGTGACTGCGACTGCCGTTGCCGCTGCGACTGCCATCGCGAATGCGACTACGACTGCGAGAACAGCAGAATTCTACAACTGGATTTTCATCTGAATCTTAAGGGGAATGCTTTCAGATATGCTTCTACACATCGCTGTTAGGTTGTTTTGCCGGGATAATTTTATGTTTCTCTCTCTCTCTCTCTATCTATCTCTATCTCTCTCTCTCTCTTGATTTATTTCTCTCTCTCTCTCTCTCTTTCTTTCTCTCCCCATATCTTTATTATCCCCTGTCTCTCCCTCGCGTTTTCCCTTCTCCCAATATATATATATATATATATATGTATATCCTTGTTTGTTTGTTTGTTTGTTTGTTGTGTGTTATTGATTTCTCTTTCTCTCTCTCGCTCTCATGCCTTCTCTCTCTCTCTCTCTCTCTCTCTCTCTCGCTCTTTTTTATTCTCTCTCTCTCTCTCTCTCTCTCTCTCTCTCTCTCTCTCTCTCTCTCTCTCTCTCTCTCTTCTCTCTCTCTCTCTCTCTCTCTCTCTCTCTCTCTCTCTCTCTCTCTCTCTCTCTCTCTCTCTCTCTCTCTCTCTCCTTCTCCCGTTGCGTCGAGCCCCTGAGACGCATGGTCGACGTCGCCTGCGGCCCCTCTCGGCGCCCGCGACAGCCTCGCCATCGGACCCCACCAGCCATCCCGCTCGCGCTTCGCCCTCCGGCTCGGGGGGCGATTGCGCGGGCGGCGCCGGCCGGCAGTCCGCTCCAGATCGAACTGGGCCCCAGCCACCAGGGTGGCCGCAAGCGTCAGCGAACAGCTCGACGGCTCGATCAAGTGTCGTTGCGCCAGCAAA